TCAGTTTTCATTTCTTATCTATGTTTGACGAATAATATTTAAATAAACATGGTAAGAGAAGAAACAAACACGATGCAACGACAATTATGAGAAACTGAGAAAATAAATGAAAACACATGATTGTGAAATATTTCACCTAAGTTTTGCGATAGCATTCATCTAAAAAAAGAAGAAAGTAAAAGAAAAATTGAACAAATAATAAAGCTTTCTAATTAGAGATGTATGGGACAAAAACTTGATGATCTAATGAACCGAAGGTGCCCTCGAGACTAACTAGAAATCAGAAAATACTGGGAGCAGAATGACTAGAGCAAAACGTTATTGGGATTAGAACTAAACATTTCAGTTAAATATTCTGTTAGCTTCAACGAATATTCTCATAAGCCGCACATATCCGAGCAAAGCTGTCAGTGCAGTACCGGTGGAATTAAAATTTGAAATACTTAGGGCATACCAAAAGTAGTGAGAGTGACACTTTAGTACCGTATGGTGAACTTAAAGAAACTTTCTTTCTATATAGTCTGATAGAGAAAAAAAGCTCTATCTTTCTATGCTATTTGGTCATACTTCAGCTAATATCATATTAATGAAATTTCGATAAGATCTGTTTTGTTCGCATATGTCACGGTTCTATGAATGCTACTGAGTATTTTTTGAATAACTGTTGATACAAATAAGATAGAGAAGTGTGATTTTCACCATTGGAAAAAGGAGATGAAGATGCATCGAATTGTATATTGTAGATTTTTCTAATATTGACTTCTGAAGTATTTTTATTAAATTTTCTAACAATCGTAAAAATGGTTCTTTTATGAAAAAAAGGAGAAAGCAAAAAACTAAGCTTTCTTCACAGATTTTACTACAAAATCGTATTAGAGGTTTGACAAGAATGCATAATATTTATCTTAGCGTTCCGAACTTTTTAGATCTTGGATTAGTGGCTTGAATTTATACTTGATAATTAGAAATTCATTGTAAAAAAACATACCAGATAGGTTTGTTTTTAAAAAGATCAATTGAAAAACTTACAAAAAACAGATTAGGAAAAACTGGGATACATGACTCAATGCATCTTTATCTCCTCTTTCCAACGGTAAAAACCGAAGTACTCTATCTTGTTTTTATCAAAAGTTATTCAAAAAATATTCACTTGTATTTTTTAAAATGAGTATTAATACAACCAGCACATATGATAACGAAACACATCTTATCGAAATTTTAGTATTATGATATTAGTTGAAGCATCATTAAATCGCATAGAAAGATAGAGCTTTTTTCTCTCTATCAGACTATACAGAAAGAAAGTTTCTTTAAGTGTACTATCTGGTGCTAAAGTGTCACTCTCACTACTTTTGGTATGCCCTATGTACTAAAAAAATTCTTGTAAAAATTTATGAAAAGATCTCAGCTTTTTGGATCATGATAATATGTTTAAATTTTTTTTTAATGAAATTCCATGAGTTGTTTTATATTAATTTGTTTCTCATGAAAGACAAAGCATGAGAATTCATTAAAACAAATTTTTAACATATTTTCGTAGACGAAAAATTAGCTTTTTTTTCAATAAATGATTACCAACTCAACTGACATATGATGATCTTCCATTCTCGTATGTTTCACTGTCATATTTTGAAGTTTTCTTTCAAAAGATTTATTTTTTTTTAGTTTAATATTTGAAGACAGCAATCATCTCAATTTCAAAATTTTTTAAGAGCCTTATTTTGTTCTGTTCTTCACTCTGGCATTTTCAATCACATTCAAAAGATGAATATCTGAATTAATATTAAAAAAAACAACAAATCCGGATAACCCGAATTTACTGTCTTGATATTCCTACCTTATTAATCGTATATTTCATCACCAAACTCCATAGCTTGTTTGTCCGACTCATCTTGTACTTCTCCTTCAATATATTTGACTCTTTCGATCAGATTTGTCGCATCATCATTAAATAATTCAATTGCATTTACATCTGACATATTTTTTTTTAAAAGAACAACCGAATCACAATGATACTTTTTCTCGTCTTCAGTACCTACGATAAAAGAAATTGTAATAACAATCAAGTGGAGTATTCTTTCTTTTTTATCTTGTACTTAAATTGAATAAGAACTTATAGAGCGAAGAAAAAAGTAGGTATCTTTATAAAAAAAAAAGCATCCAGTACGAAAGAAACTTTGAGCAGTATTTTTATGCGTTCCTAATCAGGTAGAGAGTTTTTATTCTACAGAATAATCTTTTTGAGATTAATATTGAAAAAGATTTTGGCATGCTAAATTTAAGAATTCAGAAGGAAAATAAAAATAATGAAATCTACAAGGCGAAAACAGCAGGAACTTCGGTCTTGAAGTCTCATGAAATCTTGAAATTTTTGTGAAGTCTTTTGAAGTCTCTTGAAGTTTTATCAAGTCTTCTGCGTGGAAAAAACAGCAGAGACTTCGGTCTCATGAAGTCTCATGAAGTCTTCTGAAGTCCTTTGAAGTCTTGTGAAGTCTTTTTGAAGCCTTTCGAAGTCTTCTGAAAATTTGAAGTCTCTGTGCTTGAAGTCAGCTGTTTCCCCCTTGTAAATCTACTAACGATGTTCTAGAAATATAAATATATATCAAACAAATATAACATGTATAGAGTATTTTCTTCTTATGTTTCTGATAAACCCTAATGATGTGAATTCTTCCATAGAAAAATACTTCAACATTTATACTGAATAACTTTTCAGCATTTAGATGATTCAAAAGAGCAAGATGTAGAACTTTTCGTCCAACGTTTGTTCTCCAATATGATCAAAATATTTTATTCAGTTGAAAATAGTGTAAATCAAATGTAAAAGAAAAATGGTAATGTATTGTTTTTTTCAATCAAGATCTTTTTTATTTTTATATATAAAATATATGGACAGAGCTTAGAACATTAATCTATTTTGATTTGGTCAAGTTTGATTATGAGTAAACTTATTATTATTACATAATTTCTTAATAATTAATTATCATTTTCTTTCATGTTCATTACTATTTGATATTTAGATTTTGTTATAAATTATTTTCAGTAGCAATAATAAGAATATAGATATATACCCGTTAAGTTACTCCTGTATCTATCCTCAGAATGATCGAATAAGACTTGAAATCATTGTTTATATATGAAAATAAAAGATTTTGGTTTTTAAATTTTAAATTTTGTCTTTGTTTCACATTACATTTAACCTTTTTTTAAATACTTTTCATTATTATTAATCTATGTTCAAATATAAATCTTCTGTTTTTTTTATATTTATCATTCTTCAATACTTCAGCTCAACGGTGCTTTTTCTACAAGTATGAATATATTATTTACCTATCATTCAAAATTCTTCATCTCTGAAGACTAAATCTGCTCTTTTTCGCTTAGAAGTTTCTACTTTCAATCTTCAAAATTCCAGACAGTTTCTGTTGAAAATTATAATTGTATGAATCATACAAAATTCATTCAATATACCTTGGCTATTTGATTCATTATTAATGATTGCGAACGAAATATTTTGTGATGCTGGGTCCAAAATCATGGTACCAATTAAAGTATCAACTAAGCCTCCTGATAGTTTTGATAGACGCTGCACAAGAGCGATTCGAGTGTTTGTGATGTTTCGATCGACTATCACACTGATGCTACATTCTCCTGTTGTTTGTGGTTGTTTTGTATTCAAATTAAACAAGACATTGACCCATTTGATGTTTCGAACTAATTCTATATATCTTTTTGTGTCATTATTATCGTGTTCTATCATTAAAGATTGAATGAATTTTTGCATAGATTTATAATTGGACAAATTTTCATTTCCGCCAAGAACATAAACTGACCTGCAATAAAAAACACATGAAATTAAAGAATATTCAAGATTAAATTTATTCTTTTAACTGTGCTTATTAAATATGGAAAGAAAGTTTTTTAGTAGGTCAAAATACATTCATCTTTATTCTGTTAAATATTTATCTTTAATAAGAGAAGTATTAATTTTATTTGAAATCTTCTTATATCTATATGTGTTTACAAAAAAAAACTTGAATTTTTTTTTCTAAAGATATTGTCTTTTGCACAAATTGTATTGGGACTGATTTATTTTGTGATGGATAGCCATGAAGAGTAGTATAAGATACCATAATTTGATATTCTCGTTGTTCACCTTTAGAAGACATAGAAAATAAAGATTTTTTTTTCTTGGATATAATAAAATTATTTGTAAGAGAAATTTCAACATTTTTGAATATTCTGTATGAAAAATGTTGGAATTCATAGATTTTTTTTAATTTCTTTTCTCAATATTATATTTTATTGCTGATCGAAGATTCCTATGGAATTAACCTCGACGGTATTAGCTGAATACTTGATTAATGAACCGTTGAGTGGCATGATTGACACGTTTTTTCAATCATTTTCTTAGTAGAATTACTTCTGTTGGTAAAGTTTTTTATAAAAGGAATACCGGTCTTTTCATAGCTTACACTTAACAGCAAAATAATAGATGATTTTCAAGCATATAAACATCATAAACACCACCAAAACTGTATCTCAATATATAATACAAATATGCATATTTTTTTTTGCAATATGGTTTCATATATAGATAAATAACTTTTCTATTTTACCAGAATATATTTCAATTATTCTTTAGACATTTTGACTAATGACGATTTATTTTAATCTGTTATTATCGCCATACATGGTTCTTAATAGAACATCTGTTTTATTATAGGTAACGTAACTAGGTCTTACGATGTATTTCAATAGTACACAATTGATACATGTTAAATTTTCAATAGAGAAGATAATACAATCATATAAAGATATATTAAAAGTAAGAAAAGCAGCACTCCTCCCTGGTCATTTTCTGGTATAACTATCCAAGAGTCAACTCTAAAAAATGATACTTATTGTTCCTTCGAGCGATAGGAAATACAAGATGAGATTAAAAAAAAAATGTTTGTCCATCCTTTTACATGTAGAATTATCTTCTGATAAAATTAAAAGGTAAATATTATTATTAAACAACTTTCATTTGATTTATCTGAGATTGTTTCAACTTTTCAATTAAACTTTAATTTCATTTTAACAAGAGTCACTTTTTTTTGTATTCCGTTAATGAAATATTCTGTCATAAACCATCAATATTTTTTTCATCTGAAATAAGAATCATTAAAATTACTAACGATATTTTTGTTGTTGCTTGAATTAAATCATTTATATGTGATGCCACATATGATAAACATTTTTTCATATTATTTTTTAGGGATGCACTTTCAAGCTCACCGTTAAGACCGGTGAAAGCCGGTAAGACTACGAAAGACCTACGGTGAAGGCCAGTACATTGGTACCACCGGATCACACTAGTAGAGATATATCTTAATACTAGAAGAAACCAGCCTTCACCGTTTTCTCACCGTTGCATCCCTATTATTTTTATTCATATTTTCTGGTAATGAAGTTCGATGCTCGATAAAAATTTCTTCAGTGTTCTTAAATAATACCAGAAAAATAACACAGGTATTAGCACCAGTACTAGCTAAACGACCTGTTTGTAGATCATAGCGATCCATTCCAACATTAAGGATATCTTTTTTTGTATTAGAACTGGCAGTCATCGTTTAGCAATATGAAAAATATTTCAAAAGTACTTAGAATGTAAATTCAAAAAGAAAGAAAAGAATCGTTCTATATATGATGTCATCATCTCTCTTTAATGGATATATATTCATCCATATGTGTCACTATAATATTATATATTCAAGCCAATTCACAGATAGTTAACAAATAAAAATCCTGGACACAAATTTTCACTATTTCATTCTTCATATCATTGAATTTTACAATTCATATTACTCCGCATATAAATAAACAAATATATACATTCTTTTATCTTTTAAAATTTTTTATTCTAGGGTAATTATATCGGTAGTCAAACATAAATACACAAAGTATTCTAAAAATTGTTTTTTTACCAGATTCTGTATTTTTTTTTGCTGACTTTTTTTGGTATAAAAAAGTAGTGAACTTCATTAAAAAATAACGATGCTATAGTCAAAATACTAAAATGTAGTAAAATAGCCTAAAACCTCATTTTTCCTGATAAAATTTCAAAAAAAGTCAATTCGATGATCACAAAATGGATATCTTCTGAAGAACCATAACAGAGTAGGTTTTGTTGAGAGAAGTTTGCTCTATAAAATCCTTGAGTTGGTTTCTGAAACACAATGAAAGAATATTGAATAAATTCGAATACAATATTCTATATAATATTTCTATCAAAAATCTTATTTTATACAGTAAATTTCCTATCCAACGTTCCATTAAGATTTATTCAATATTCCTTCATTATGTTTCAGAAACCGACTCAAGAATTTTATAGAGCAAACTTCTCTCGACAAAACCTACTCTGTTATAGTTCTTCAAAATATATCCATTTTGAGATCATCGAATTGACTTTTTCTGAAATTTTGTCACGAAAAATGAGATTTTAAGATATTTTACTATGTTTTAGTATTTTGACTACAGCATCACCATTTCTTAATACAGTTCACAACTTTTTTTATACCAAAATGATTAGCGGAAAACTCTCTATAAAGTCTGGTAAAAGAGAGAATTGTTTGAATATTCTGTGTTTGACTACCCATGAAACTACCCTTCTGCAAAATAGAATTGATTGTATCGATCAAAAATTTCTTTATTATCGATCTGGAAGTCTTCACTTAATGATGATTCATGGTATTTTTAATTAGAAAGTTCTAACAGATATATCTATTTGAAAAACAAATTAAACAAGTTTATTCTTACAAAAAAATCAACAAAATGGCTAAGAGAAAACAGCGTAACAACAATAAATTGTTCTCTTAGCAAAGCCAAATGCTAAGCTGGTTATGGTAAGAAAATTCAATTCGAGTCATAGTTGAGTCTTGTAGGCGATCGATCTTTGCCATAATTGCCTCTTTAGTTCTTGTTTTTACATGTGGTTTAAGTGTGACTCTACCATTTTTATTTATCTGTAATAGTATTAATTCACGAAAATAAGCCTTATTGATCAGCAATTCCAATACAAGATCAACCATTTGTTTTTCTCTTATCAGTTCTTGCCCACGAATAGTGAGGTAATGCATTTTAGGTGTAAGTATATTTAATCGATTTACGTCAAAATCTCTACGTTCCCATCCATAAACGGTGAGATCAACATGTGTAATCATTGGATACGTGCCAGAACAATGAGAAAGATCTCTCCATCTCACATTGAGATAGGAAAGATAAGGTGATACATCCAAAATTATTTGCAATGGTGAGTAGTGTGTTACACTCCGGTAGGGAACATGCTGTTGGAATTGAAAGGTCAACGAACGAAGATGAAGACATAAATTAGTACATGTTGGAGTTACGACAATTTCTGGTTGATTCTAAAATGTCAAACGATACATAATCTATTTAGTTTTTGTATTTTTCTTCTATTTAAAACTTAAAATATAAAAGGAAAATATTAATTTAAAACCAAGGGGGAAACAGCTGGCTTTAAGAGACTTCGCAAGACTTCATGAGACTTCAAGGCTGAAGTTCCTGCTGTTTCCCTCTTCTGTAAACCAAAGGTCAAGACATAAAAATTAACAATGAGAACATTTATATGTCTTGATAAAAGTGATGACCTACATTTACTCCAACACACAAACAGTGAAGCGTTTCGACGTTTCTCAGTTTTTTAAGAGTTGAAATTAATTGAATTTCATTGCTTGTCCACTTCCATAGCCATTCCATGTTTTGATAAACAAAGTTTTTTCGAATTATCGTTGAATGACGAGTAAAAAGTTCATAATTGTGTACAGTGCGCATATGTTTCAATAAATCAAAAGGAATAGAATAAACATAAAAAATATCTTCAATAATATCTAATGGAGAGGAATAATCGAGTAATTCCACAATATGATCATCCACATGAAAACTAACATTATCAAATGACCATCCATTATTATGATATCTACAAATCCATTCATGTTTGTATTTAGCAGGAAATCGAAGTAAAAATTGAAATTGATTGTATTTAAAAGAAGGTAAATTTGACGGACTAAATGATTGTTGAAAAGCTAGCAAATTGTCCAAAGCTAAACAGAAAAACATAACATTCATTTTGATGTTTCGTTGTGTATCACTTTTCAAAGCCATTAAGGATATCTTCCCTCTTTTTTGATCAAAAAACTAATTTCGGGTTTGAGCATAAGGTATGATAGCCTTATGTGTCATGAGCAATTAGAGATGCCATTCTATCCAAAACATCTTAGTATTACAGAGTTAGAGAACTTAAAGAATTTCTTTTTTCATAAAAACCGCAGCGAAATTTTTTCTTTCGTTTAGCGTAACGCCAAATATGGCTTTTCTGAATAGGGTCTTCTTACGATTCCTTCAACTTTGTTCGATTCGACTGAAATTTTTACCACCGATACTTGTAAGTGTTCTCCAAAGGTTAAACTAACTGTTTTCATTTTTGGCCTTCATATTCAGATTTATAGGGTCTTGAACGCAAGCACCCTGCTTTGAATCCGGACTCTTTCAGGTCTGTCTCTCATAAAAAATCAAGAAAGTCAGATTTTTGAAAAAGCTTAAAAACACCTCTGAGTTATTGCCTAAGGTATCTATAAAAAAAACTTCTGCTTGATCGAACAGATTTAGAGAGGGATTATAAGTGAGTCCAATGAAATCCTGTAGAAAACCGCAAAACACGTATCTCGTTATTTTAGGAGCTCTATCTCTAGTAAAAATTTCAGGGAAACTAGTTATCCTCTCTTCAAAAAACAGGTATAGTCAAAAAAGAGGGAGAAGCACTCTCAATTGAATAAAACATAAAATAAGACAATATCAAAAATAAAAGTTCTGAAGGGTACTCTTTCTCTTATTTCAAACATCTAATAAATATTCAAAATTAGAGAGCAACAATTTTAAGTTAATCATACCTATGAAAATGATTGATATTCAAAAATGTTTTACTCAGTAGTTAATGCAATCTGAAATAGTGGGATCCTAGTTTGAACCTAAACTGAATTTATATATTCTTTATCTTTCATTATCGTTCAAACTAGCGACCTGTTTCAAAGAAATAAGAGCATTTCTTCTGATATATTACACTATCACTTAAAACTTGTAGCTGATAAAGATTCAGAATATCTGAAACTTCCACAATTTGGTTCGCCTTCTATCATCATGGTTGTATCTATTTTTGTCGCATAAAATTTCAAAAAAAAAAACCAAAAACTAAAAAACTTTCATTGCACTTACATTTATCATATATATCAACCAATATGAGTGTATGAAGAAGAGGAAAAGTGAGTGTATTGAATAAAATTAAAAGATCATCGAGTTCTATGTAACGTATGACAAGCGATTGAAGTCTTTCACCAGTAGCATTTTTACAACGGAGGTCTTTTTCGCACAATTCAAAATGTTCTGCTGATTGACCATTTTTAGTTATTAAATCCTTTCGTGGCTGTTCGATAGTTACATTTAAATGTTCGAGTAATGGTAAAGCTTCAGGCATTAAGAGAAGAATAAGTTCAGATGAATGTTGTAAACTAAGAGTCAAGCGTACAGTATTTATCCAATACAATGGATATTCTATATTGTACAAGTCTTCTCTACGTTCCCAATGTTGATATAGATGTCCTAAAAATAAATACATGCATGTGAAGATCAATTATTATCAAGTGGATAAGACTTCGGTCTGAGAAGAAATAAGAATACCCTCGCCTTTCGGTATAGGGTGCTGCCCAAGGACAGTTTCGTAAGCCCGATATTTTTCCTGCAACTATAACTAGCTGCAACTCTGGACAGAGGGCCGGCCTTACGCATAGTTCTTCTCGCTCAATGACTTAAGCTCTCCATACATACTGACTAACCACATACCAGCTACAGGAGCTATGTTGTATGTCGACAATGTCATCAGCATTCTATCGGATGGGTGATCCGAGACAAATAGCCGTTAGTGACTTGTCCAGGGTCATTCTATAGCTGATGGTACCGAGATTTGAACACAGTACTTTGGGATGGCATGCCGAACAACGTAACCACTCAGCCATGGCGGTTCGGTTTGAGAGCGCTATATAAACCTTCTTCTTTAAGGATGAAACAGAACTATTCGATTTTTTTTTAAATTTTATTTGAAAGACGAAGTTGTTTGATTATCTTATTTCTTGTATACAAACCTTTTGTTACTTCAAGTATCATGATTGGATATGAAATACGTTTTTCAACCATTTCTGACAAAATAGAATGATAAGTGTAACATGGATCTTCAAAAACAAGATGAAGATAACGAAGTTGTGATTCGAGAAATATTGTAAATTTAAGTTGAGAAACTAATGAATACATGCTTTCTATAGCGTTCGGTAAAATATAAATACTTTGTAGAGATGATAATTGCCAATTTGTCTTTGTAGCTATCCATCGATCAATTAGTATCTCATAATCAAGTTGATTTTCAAGACAAATCGCATGAGCATGAGAAACAAATTCTGCATGCCATCGGCGACCATGTGGATTATTGTCACGATCTTCAACTAGTTCAACTATTTCAGAATAAGATATACCTTTCAAGTCGATAGTATGACGAATTAGATCACCAGTTAGTAATTGATTCAAACGTTTATTAATTCCAAAAAAACCTCGCCAAATATGCCGTGAAGATAGATAACTAAATATAATAAGCCAAATTTCATTTGGCAATGATTCAAACATAAGAGCCATTGTTTTTTTGTTATTACGTATTCATTATATCTATAGATATATATAATCGATGCATTTATCCTTTTTGTTCACTCGTTCAACTGGAACGATAGTGCTGCTCCTTATTACATTTTCTTTTTTTTCTTTGCTCATAACTGCCGTCGAAATTGTAAGGACATTGTTTTTGTATACACCAATAATAAGGAGGGAGAGAGCGTTAGATATGAATATTAAACATGTGCTATCCTACAATCACAATTGGGATGAATCATCGAATCATTGTCAAATAGAGAATATTTTAATCTACTAAGTGGGGGCCACATGTCAGGACACGTTTCCTGAAGATTAGATGAATACAGTAGTTTCTCTAAACAGTTCTCTAACACTTGGTAAAGTCCGTTTTTTTTTTCGGGCCATGCCGAGTTTTTGAGATACCAATCTTACAAACTACAGCATCCATAGCAACATAATGCACTATCGATACATGATTTATGCATTTGCTATAACTTTGTAACGAGAGAGATTTGAATGCTGTTGAATTTTCCAATCGACTCAGCCATGGGCAAATAAAGAGAAACCCGATTTAACGAAAAAAAAATTCGAAAATTCAGACAAATTTTTGAACTTAATGACTATATTTTTTTGATGGTGACACCACTAATAGTGATCTGTAATTGAATTGGTCGTATTATTTCGTTGATTTAATCTTATAGCTCCTTTTTCGAGAAAAGCTTAGTGTAATTCGATAGAGAAAATTTTTCTCTATCGACTACTATCAAGTATATATATTCGATCTCTTAAATTTTTTAAAAGTGTATTTGATATTGGTTGGCTTAATTTTGTTATACTTTATCTGCTTCATTCGCGTACTAAAATCGGTTGTACTACTTTTTCACAAGTGAATATTCAATTATCATTTAGCATTCATTTTATTTTATTTGAAAATCCTTTTTTTCTTAATTTCAATCAATGAGAGAGATAGACAAGTTGGTTTTTGATGAATTTTTCTTACGGTTTAGCTTCCGAAACTCATTGTTCATAATAAGTAGTTATTTGTGAAAAATCCCAATAATAAGATTCATCATTACTTAAAGTTAAACTGATATTTTATTATAATGATTGTTGAATTTGTCTTTTTGATCCTTTAGATTCAATTGATGTATGATGAAATTCGCTTCATGAACAATAGTTTGAATTCTATAAAATAAACTTATATACATGTATTACAAGACAAAGTGAATAACATTTCCTTTTTTCTTTTTTGCTACAATTAATGCAAGTTGTTGTTCGATATTTGATGTGATAACTGAAGTAATTTTTATTGAATTATTAGAAGAAAATAATCATTTAATATAATATATGCTAAGTATATTGAACTTAAATAATATTAATCATTCATTACATTAGTACTTTTATCAGTTGAATGCTTAGTAAAGAAAAGTCACCAATTATTCATTGTTTCTATTCTAGATGAAGAATTCCAATATGAACAGCAGCTAGAAAAGGAATTATAGATCAATAATAATTAAATGACCCAGCAACTATTTGTTGAAATTGGTTTAGTTCTTTTTTTATAAATCATCGGTTGAAATCACGTTGTGTCGCAAAATCAAAAAGTATACTACATTGATCAAATAATAATAGTGAACAAAATGTCATCAGAAATGTTGTTGCACATACTGAATGAAAGAAATCAAATTTGTATTAAAATAATTCTCAAAACGCATCACATTGACAGTTATTTATAATAAGTGAACTAATATATTTCTTCATTTTTTTATATCAACGAAGATACCTGTACTTGAAAAAAAAACAACACGTTATCAGCAATTTATCACATTTTAATCTTTTCTTTATAATCAAAAATTTGAATAAATATAGTATCGTTCGATATCAAAGACTAAGATAGACAAGTCATCCATTTAATTGATGTTTGTTAGATGCTCAAAACAGAATTCTATGTGTTCTGTATTTTAATCAATACTCTCCGGTCAAGACAACAATATTCGAGAAAAATGTCGAACAATAATTAAAACAACAATTTGTATAGAGAGAACAAAATCTGATTGTTATCTTCCATATTACTCAATGGATGATTTGTTGATGATGATATTTGAATGATAACTAAGAAAAAAAAGACAAAATATAATATTAAATGTGTCTGATAATGCAACGTGAAGATGCGGGATGAGGGTGGTGTCAATGATCACCATTCATTAAGAACTATATGCATACTTGTTTTTAGATATACAACTCATATAGTGATTTAGATCCGAGGGGGAGGATAGTTTTGGTCAGTAGTGTAGATTAATCTTGTATGGAAAAACATTGCTTTTATTCATTGTTTTTTTTCAAATAAATATTTGTTCGACAACATCGATTAATTGTCTCTTCTTTGTCTTTTGCAGATGTCCTAATGTTCAAGAGATTGAGAATTTTCTTCTCTACAAAAAGGTCTCACTTTTGCTTATGAAGTACTGATCTTTTAAGATAAAACCCTTAAAATATTTCAGTCAACAAATTTCGATTATCCTACATAGTGAAGTTTCATGTTCAATAAGACTAGTTCTATTATTCCATTTAAACTTCTGAAGCGAATATTTACTGACTGAACACAAAGAAATAATAAACAAAGTCAAAGATATCTTTTATTTGCCAGGTACAACACAATCCATCCGTCAGCTGACTTAACATTATCTTATATTAATAGTGATTATCCATAGATTATTTTCACATAATATTGAATGAAAATCTTATATTAAAAACGTTTTTTAAGCTTCCAGCAGAACAATATAAGATTACTGTTTGGATATTGGATAAGAAAAAATATCGGAAAAGTAATGCCGAAAAAAATTTGAATATTGACCCAATATTAGATCTTGTCTGACTTTGTGCCTTATGAGTTTCGTTCAAAGACCAGAGTTTTGATTCAGAGATTCAAATCGAGCAACAGAACCAGTTTTGTTCAACATTTACAAACATCGATTATTACTTGAACGTGAAACTTCATTATGTAGGATAATCGAAATTTGTTGACTGAAATATTTTGACGGTGAGGTTGTGCATAAATAGAAGATTTTGAAGTTCTTTTTCTTTATTTTTTCATTTTAAAAGATTAGTATTTCATGAACAAAAGTGATACCATTTTGTAGAACAGAAAGCTCTCAATGTCTTAAATATTAAATGAGATTTTTAGAAAAATAATTAAAGAAGGTAAAATCAGAGCACAAAAAAGGCTCATTTTATCTGCGCCACCTGTTATATGTATCAAGCATTAAATCCTGGCAACTTCAGTCAGTCTTGGTAGACATGATTTTTTTTATTAAATTCTATCATCGTCAAAAGAAACGATTCATCTGCCATACTTCTAGTGTCTCTACAAGAATCCGAGAATCATTTGAATGCCATTTAAGAAGATAAAAGTTCTTTTGTTACGATCTAAAAAAAACATTGAGCAAAAACGACCAGATATCACTTTTCATAGCATATTTGAAAAACAATCAAATTGCTACAATATCAACTTAATTAGATCAATACAATTGGTGACGGCTTAATAGTTTTTTTTGTCAGGTTGCAATGATTTCAGTTTTAATCGAACGAAATTTTTTCAAGGCGAAATAATTTCAAATGGANAGTCTTAAAACTAGTAAAACGACGAGTAAAATTGATAAAAAAGCATATATTTTAAAGAATATTACTTATTTTAATAAATTCATAACTTCTTAGCAGGAGCGTGTTTACGATCTTGGCTAGCCGAGTGCATTAAAATGCGTAACAGCGCAGTGAAAATACTTTATACGACGAAGCCATGCGTTAGAGTGGTGCGAAGAAGAGAGAAAAAAACCAGGGATATTTTCTACTGAATGCAAGTAACTTCTGGTCTCACAGTTATGATTAGGAGTTTGGGAAATAAGACTTTGGTCACATAGCAATGCATAAAAAAAGATGATAAAATCT